GTGGGACAAGGAAACGGACCCTTACGGGGTGGTAATGGACCTGGACCAGGGGGAGGAGGTCAAGCGGAGTGAGTGATTCGATCCCCCCCCCTCCTTTTCACGAATGCACGCACGCCACGTATTTACCCCTCCTCCATCCCCTTCGCCGCCCACCACTCCGACAGGAATCGCCTGCACGGCTGCGGGCACGAGGCCCAAAGTGGCTTTCAACCAAAACTTTTCGTTCGAAAAGGTGTTTGGGATCGACGAGTTCATGGCGGCTGGCATCCTGGTCATACCCGAAGGTGGAGACAAGCCCACCAAACCCAGCAAGGATAACAACTACGTGAGTCTTGGCGCGATGCCACAGGGAAATTTTTTGGGGGGGTGGGGGTTGGGAGAAGAACGAGTTCACTTGCCAGCCAAACAGAGGTTGATCCAATCTCAACGCTCCTACTCCTCTTCGTTCAGACATTTGTCGTGCTGGAAGGAGCGGTCAGGGTCACCGTCCATCGATCGTCCTTCATGATGGCTCCGGGAGGCATGTTCCTCGTCCCCAAAGGTGAGAACTTCTCTTCAGCCCATCTCCCCATCATTGGGAGGAGCCTCATGAATAAGGGGGAGGGGACAGCAAGGGGCTGACATCTTTCCTTCACCTCCACCTTCGCCGCGTCAGGTAACACGTACAGCATCGAGAACGTGTCCAAGAGGGAATGCCGAATCTTTTTCGCCCAGGCCAGGAACGCCCAGGCCGGGTTGCTACTGAGAGCCAACCAGAGTCTGGTCAACGGTGGAGGCAACAGTAGCAACGCGGGGAGGAGCTTCAACAGTTCGAGGAGGGAGAGGGAGAGTCAGAACGACGGATTCGGTCAGATGTCCATGTCTCAACCCTTACCTGCACGAGATGCTGGGTCGACGGAGGAGGAGGAGGAGGAGGAGGAGGAGGAGGAGGGGGAGGAGAGGAGGGTTGGTAAGGGGACCAGCAGGGGGAGCAGCGGTCAAGGCGGAGGCGCAAGAGGTAGAGGAAGAGGGAGAAGAGGTCGGGGTCTGAGGAGAGCATGAAGGGGGATTCCTGAGGGAAGGGGAGTCTTACCCGCCTTAGCCCTTCTCTTTCCTCACACTTCCTTCTTCGAAAAGAACAACAGAAGGACCACCCGAAAGCCAAGGGGAAGGGTGTCCCCTCCACCTTACCTTATTCAACATCTCGAATCGAAAGGAGGTTTGACCCTTCCTCTTCTTTTTTTCTTCCTTTTTTTGCCATCGGGGTTTTTCTTCTCTTTTCTTTTCTTTTTTTTTTTCTTTTGCCACTGTTGACTCTACTTTTGTACCATTATCTCACCCTGCTCTCACCCTTCCTCCGTCTGTTTGTCTCTCCTTTCTCCTTTCCTTTTTGGAGTTTTGCGCAATCTGAAATCGGGATCTTTCCGGGCACAGACGGTATGCTGGCGAGGGTTGCGAAGAGGGGAGGGACTCAAGGGATTCTTGGAGCCTCTCTGTTGATCGGCGATCGAATCCCTTCCCCATCTTGGGATCTCTTTCGCTCTCCCATGGACGTTGATGCGGAGTTGAACTACCGTTTCGTTCGATTCTTTCTTTCTCTCTCTCTCCTCTTACCCTTCTTCACACTAGAACAACCGTGACACTACTGACTCTCTCCTCGTTTGCCCGATTGGACTTAACGATCTTTGTCTCATCCGTTCCATGTTCCACCTCTTTTGTGGTGGACGACGACTGTAGAGTCTCTGCATGGTAGAAGGTGGTGAGGCCAGGATCATCTGGGTGAGCGTGTGGATCACGTGATCCCGGCCTGATTACGGCATACTGGGGTTGAGAAGGGTCGGAAAACGGTTGCGGGGCCCGGCCGGTTGAACCGGCAATGCTGCCGCTTGCTGCAAACTTTTGGGCCAAACGACGACGATCGAATTGACATAAGCCATCTCCCTCCATCCCATCCCTTCTATCCCTTCTTCGTCCGAAACCTTTGCCCTTCCCTCTTTCCCTCTGTCCGTCTTAGGAGATACCGGAAACCCGGTCTCACTTGTTCCCCACTCGCCGACTTGGTTTGTCTCAATCCTCTCTTCACTCATTTAAGAAGCGCTCGACTCTCTCTCCCCAGCTTCGTTTCATCTTCTCCATCTTCCCCTTTTCCCCCACAAACCCCAGATTTCCTTCCTCAACCCTGGTAGTTGGAGAACCCACAGTATCCCGCCCTCCCTCCCTCTTACCTTGCGATAGGACAACCAACCCCACTTGATTCGGCGACCGTCACATTACCCTCCACCATGACTCACGGACGCTACGCCAGCATCCCAGAACACCTCAAGCCGGCGGGGACGCCGGGTTCGACACTCCTCGCCATCGAACGTAAGAAGGCCAGCTTCGACACCAAGCAGATGTCCGAGTACCTTTACGGCAAGGAGTACCTGGAAAAGGACGCCGAGCTGGTCGCCCTGCTCACCTCGGACACGACCGGAGCTTTCGACAAGTCCAACTGGAACTACCTCGGCCGCACCGAAAAGTTCCGGCTCGCGCTCAAGAAGGACAAGCGCATCGCCCAGCTCGCTAGGGAGCACGGTTGGGACCGAGAGACCATCAACCACGTCGAGAGCCTCTGCGACTTTATGGGTCCGTTCTCGTGAGTGCCCATAACCCTCCCCTGCATTCAAGCCCAACCCTTCTTCGCGTTCATTCACTGATCGATCACCAACACGAACATTTCCAACCTTTCTTTCCCCCACCCCAGCGTCCACCGCTCCATGTACCTGACGACGATCGACAACATGGGCACCGAGGAGCAGAAGGAAACCTTCCTGGTTCCTGCGTTGCGGTACGAGAACATTGGATGCTACGCGCAGACCGAGCTAGGTCACGGATCCAACGTCCAAGGGCTCGAGACGACGGCGACCTACGACAAGGAGACGCGCGAGTTCGTCCTCCACTCGCCGAGCATGACGGCTAGCAAGTGGTGGATCGGCGGTCTGGGCCGCTCGGCGACGCACGCCGTCGTCATGGCCCAGCTGATCATCGACGGCAAGAGGCTCGGGCCTCACCCCTTCATCGTCCCCATCCGCGATCCCGAAACTCGCAAGCCCTTCCCAGGCATCTCGGTAGGCGACATCGGTCCCAAGGCTGGCCTCCCCGGAATCGACAATGGCTACGTGAGTGCGAAAGAGGGAAGGGGGGGGTGAAAGTGGAGGGAGGAATGAGGGGAAAAGACAACGTACACTGAAGAAGGAAAATAAATTGACCGTATCCTTGATCAACTTGGCGACTCACCTTCTTTCATCTCTCCCTGGTCTCCCTTCCTCTTCCCCGCCTTCTTTTCACAGATGCTCTTCGACCACGTCAGAGTGCCCCACTTCAACCAGCTCTCCCGATTCGCCAAGGTGGACCCAGAGACTGGAAAGTACACGCCTCCTGCCAACTCGGCTCTGACGTACGGGACCATGACGTACGTGCGAGCCGGGATCGTGAGGGGTGCTCGGACGGTGCTGATGCGATCCGTGACGGTAGCGGTGAGGTACTGCGCGATCCGTCGTCAGTTCGCGGATCGGGACGCACCCAAGTTCGAAGGCAGCAAACCGATCGAGACGCAGGTTCTGGACTACACGATGGTGCAGGCGAGGATCCTACCCATCCTGGCCAAGGCGTACGCGTTCCACTACACTTCCAAGTACATGTACGAGCTGTACGAGTCGTGCATGGAGGGGATCAACCGGGGAGACCTGAGCCTGCTCGCCGAGACGCACGCCAGCTCGTCGGGTCTCAAGGCGCTCTGCACGATCGAAGCGGCCGAGGCGATCGAGACTTGCCGAAGGGCTTGCGGAGGTCACGGATTCAGCGCCGCCAGCGGACTGCCCAACTTCTACAACGACTACCTACCCAACGTGACCTGGGAGGGGGACTCGTACATGCTCAGCCAGCAGACCTCTCGACACCTGCTGAAGCAGATGCGAGACCTCAAGAGGGACCCGGAGGGGACTCCGAGGAGCTTCACTTCGGACTACATGAGGCACTACTTTGGCGTGGCCAACGGGGACGAGAACGCGGCAGCGACGAGACACGAGGTCAACTACTCGGGAGACCTGCACGACCCGGTCTGGTTCATCAAGGCGTTCGGCTACCGAGCCGCCTGGCTCGTGGACCAGACGCTGGAGCTTCGGGACGGACCCTCGAAGAGGTCTTGGAACTCGATCCTGCCCGAACTCTACCGTTGCGCCAAGGCTCACTCGCAGGCGCTGGTGATCTACAACTTCGCCAAGGCCATCCTGAACGACTCGAACCTCAACTCGAAGCCCGCGCTGAGGACGGTGATGCAGCAGCTCTTCCTGCTCCACGCGACGCACACGATGCAACAGGAAGGGGCCGAGTTCATCTCGTGCGGCGTCATCGGACCCAAACAGTACCAGCTGCTCTCGAACAAGTCGCAGGAGCTCATGGCGTCCATCCGACCTCAGGCGGTGCCACTGGTGGACTCGTTCGCGCTCTCGGATTACCTGGTCAACTCGGCGCTGGGCTCGAGCAAGGGCGACGTCTACGAGGGACTCTTCCGACACGCCCTCAACGAACCCATCAACTCGAGCAGGTGGGACGTCAACGTCGAGGACCTCGAGACGTTGGAGATCGACGACTCGCCCGCGCTCGCCAAGGCCAAGCTCTGATGGGGGGCAGGAAAGAAATGGAAAGAGGAAAAAAAATGGGACCGTCTCTCCCCCGCTGTGTTCTTGTTGCTCTCTCTACTCGATCTCCTTCGTTTGTGCTTCTTGTCTAACTAGGACTTTCATGTCGCTTTCGTTCTGTTTTCCACACGGCTGGGATCCCCGGGTCGAAATAGAAGTCGTTTTTTCTTGTCTGCACGATTCTGCTTGGGAAGTGGGCCTTCCTCTCTCGTCGGTTGGCTGAGTGGTGGGGGGGAGTGGGTTCGTGGTTCTGTTGCATACACGGTTTGGTGCGTCTCTTCGCGTTTGACATCAAGAAGTGTGCGTATCAATATGGCGTTCTCTATCTGATCGGCATCCAAGTCCTTGTTAGTACAATGGCTAGTATAGGGCACTCTCAACACCTTTGAGTGATTCTGCTCAGATCGGGGTTCAATTCCCCGGCAGGGAACTTTCCTTTTTCTCTCCAACACCTGTTTTTATTTTTATTCTTTTCCTCCCCTTGGTTTCCGTCCCCCACTCTGAGAGGAGGAAGTCATGTGATCAGGATTCTTCTTTCGAGAATTTGTCAGGTGGGGCGGAAGGTGGAACGAGATTGCGAGATAGGAGGATAACCGCGAGGGTACTCTCGGAGCCCACCTTCTTTTTAAAGCTCGGAGATGATCTCGGAGAGGGAAAATGGAGATTTAAAAGATGAAAGCTGGTAATAGAAGAAATTAGATTCGGATATGGATGTAATCGCAGCTTCCATGCAGCCGAAGGGCTTGCCTTGGATTCCTCCCCCCTCCTCCCTCGATCCTTGGTTTAGGAACCTTTCGTCGTATTCCTACTCCTCCTGTATTGCGAGACGTTCGTTGTTGGCATTCGACCCAACTTGGGGGGGGGGGGGGTTGGGGGTTTGGAGTCTAACACCCGCCTCGAACGCATGCTCTCTCCCTCCCTCTCCCTCCCAACCTCGCTTTCCTCCTCCTCCTCCTCCTCCTCAGCCCTTGGCGGAATGCAACGTTGCGACTCGACTTGCACCCAACACCTTGAACCCACCACACCACGCACCGAAGAGAGAGAGAGAGAGAGGGAGAGAGGGAAATTTTCAAGCTCATCTCCTGACGAACCGATTTTTTGAACTCCCCCCATCCCACCTGCCCCCCCCCCACCTCTCCTTCTTCCCCTTCCCTCGTTCCTTCTTTGAAGGGAAAAAGAAAGAGAATAGGAAAAGAAAAGAAAGGGAATAGGAGAGCATCAAGCAGGATCCTAGACCGCCTGCCCGCCCGCTCCATTCCCCCCCCCCCCCCCCCCCCCCCCCCCCCCCCTCTCCCTTTTCAAAGTCCAGGCCAAAGAGGGAGAGAGAGGATCGAAAACAAACGAACGGATGGAAAAATAAGGAAAGAAGTACACCCCAAACTAAGGTGGGAAGAAAGGAAAGACAGACTTTCGTGAGCCACCCACCCACCAGCCTGTAGAAGCGGGAAAAGGGCTGAGGAAGGGAAAAAGCACAAGCTCTCCACGGGTTCACATGTGCAAACACCCAGTCTACAAACAACACGGGAACAGCCAGCATCCGTATCCTCTCCACCTCCAGTCGATCTGTGGTCAGGGGAGAGGAGGCTGAGAAGCAGCAGCAGCAGCAAGAAGAACACTGTGGACCCCCTCCCCATCCTTGGTGGTGGTGGTGGATGTATGCACGTTCACGTTCCCCTTGTATGCGGCCAAAGGAAGGGTAAAAGGGGATCAACGCCAAGGCAAGAAAGGTAGCAGCCGTTGTAGAAGAAGAGTGAGTGGTCACTTTCTCCCTCGCTCCCTCCTTCCCTCCCCTCCGGCTCTCTCTTGGTCGTCATGCATCCTTCCCACTTTCTTTTCCCCCTTCCTCCCCTTCTGACTCAGAGACTGACACAAACCCACGGCGCCCTCTCCCCCTCCCCCTCCCCCTCCCCCTCTCCCTCTCCCTCTAAAGAAGACGAAAGGAAACCACAGCAATACTTCAAAGAAAAGAAGAAAAAAACCAGACCAATCAAACCCAATCCGAACTCGAACCCAACCCAACTCTATTGAAGGATTCCATCCCTCATCCAACATCGCAACCAAGACCCAGCCTCTGAACGAAAATAAGGAGGAGAGGTTCGACACACAACAAGGGGGAAGGAAAGGAAAGGTCGAGCCATGCATACAATTTGAAACCTCTCAGGAAAAAAAAAAGGCTATTCCCCTCCCTTCGTCCTCGATAGCGTCATCGGTTCTAAACCCCTCCCCTTTTTTACCACCAACTACAAACCCTCCCTCCCTACTTCTCCCCCTCCAAACATCTGGACCATTCTAGCGATCAGTCAACAAGCAGAACGGAGGGAGAAGAGGAAGGGAAAAGGAAAGCAGAGGGAGTGGGGGAAGATCAGTGGCAAGACTGGATCAGCAACAAACCTTTAGGCAAGGCGCTCCCCCTCCCTGTTTTGCGACGGCAGCGACCTTTTTATTTTTTTTTTATCTTTTATCTCATTTCATTTTGCTTTACTTTCTTCTTTCACTTTCCTCGACTCTCGTCTCCGTCCTTCCCTGTTCTTCTGTCTCTGGAAGCAGGCAAAGGGATTCGCTTGGCAAGAACAGCGACCACCACCATCATCATCGATCGCTTTCTTCCGGTACACTTGAGCTTCGTCCACCTTTGCCTACCATCATCCATCTGCTTATCCTCTACCTTTCTTCTTACTCTTCCGTTGATTCCGTCACCTTTTGGGTCGGACTCGATAGCCGCCATTTCACTCTGCCTACCTCCTCACCCTTGACAGCCCTCTCATCGTCATCGTCGCTATCATCACCACCTACATCACCACGTTCATCCCGACAACGTTCTCGCATCTCCGCCAGCAGTCCCTTCCAGCTGATCGACCAAAGCCGTTCGAAAGAGTCCCAGTCCCCGATCCTTGCCCCCACCGTCTTCCTTCCAGGGCGGAGGGGGAAACCCTTCCTTTTGAAATCTTGCTGCTCTCAACCCATCTATGACCAAGATGGGCGGCAAGCCCCCTCCACATCCCTCCAATCCCATCCAGGGGTTGGCCGAGCTCCTGGAAGCGGCCCAGCAACATCTCAAGGACCGAAACAGCCCATCCAGCAGCTACCAGCCTTCCCCCTACCACTCGCCCAAGCTGGAGGGCAAGAAGAAGGCCATGTCGCCCCCTCCCGCTTGCGATCAGCTCTTCCACAACTCGAACAACTATCGGCACCCTCCCTACCCGACCATGTCCAACATGCAGTGCCTCAGCGTGGCATCCTCGGCTGCCTCGTCGCCGGTGGCCATCAATCCGTCCGCGAGCGACAGCCAGGCGTGGCCAGATTGGTTCTGCTGCGACGGCGCGGCGGGTGCCAGCAACCTCAGTCCGCAATGCCCAGATGCCTGCAGGGATTCCGACTGCGATGCGTGCCAGATCCGCGGACCATCCTTGGCCACCACCTCGCCGCAATCCATCTGCCCCGGTGACCACGCAGGCTCCTCCCACTGTGACTTTGCACCCTGTTCCGCAGCCTCATCCTCCACAACAGCCGTGCCAACGCGGAATGCCGCCGCCGCCGCCGCCGCCGTCGACTCGTGCTGCCAAGAACCCTCGGCCATCATCTGCTCCGCCTCTCCTTGTCCCGACCTCGCAGATCACTGCACCGACTCGTGTCCGCAGAATACGGACCATGCACCGATCGTCTCCGACCTGTGCTGTGACAAGGAAGGCTGCAGTAGCCCTACATCCCATCCGGTCGCTTGCCACGATGCGAGCCACGTCTTGCAAGGATGCGAGGTCACCTGCAGTGAGGCGGACGATGAGCAATGCTCCCCACACCATTTCCGGGCCAGAGCGAAGAAGGCCCCCGACATTGGCAAGCTCGTCGACCAATGTTCCACGTGCAATTCACCGTCCGCCGCGCCTGGCAAGGTCTTCAGCAGCTTCCAGGAGCTGCTCGACTGCTGCTGCTGCGCTTCGGATGCTCAGCCGGATGACTGCTGTGTCGAGTTGGAGGAGGACCCACCGTCAAAGTCGGCACCTAGCCAAGACGCCTCACACTGCCAAGATTGCGACAACATCGCCGCCGCCGCAGTCGCCAACAACCAGACCGGGCCGCCACCACCCTGTCTGCTCGATTCTTCCTGGGTCCTGGCCTCCACGCTGAAACCAAGGCAATCTCCCAAGGGAGCGAGCCGGCCGGTCGACGCCAACTATCTCAGCGACGCATCCTCCAAAGTCCCCTCCTTGTCATCTCCATCGTCGGGCTCGTCAAGGACAACGCCACCCGTGACCGACCTGTCGGCGAGGTCGAGATCGTCATCCTCGACGACGTCAAGTCGTCTCAACCTTGGCGTCGTCGGAGCGCCGCTCGAGAGCGTCAGGGAGCAGGACTGGGCCTCGGTGCTGATCACGGTCGACAAGGAACTGGCCAGCGCCGAGGCAAAGTTGGGTGGCGGTGGTGTTGGTGTGAATGCCACCGACTACATGATGAACGGGAACCTGATTCAGCGTCCCTCCTCCCTTACTTACCCTTCCTGGAACGGCGAACCCGACCACAGCCTTGCATCGTCCTCCTCCAGGTCGGCAACGTCCACGATCCCCGACTCGTTCAGCCGCGCTCTCACCTGCAGCTACCCTGTCCCGCATCAACACGACGCCAGTGGTGGTTGCATCCCCCCTCAGCTGACCATTTGCGACCCCAACTCGTGCTCGACCCAGGCACCCCACTCTCACTGGCAACCCATGTCCTTCCTCCAAAACCCTCCCTCATCCGCGACCCCCGGCGTACCCTCGCAGCAGCACTGCCCGTTCGTTTGCCAGTGGGCAGGTTGCAGCGAAAGGTTTCACTCTGTCGAGCAGCTCGTCTCGCACGTGAACCACTCTCACCTGGGCCTCGGCAAGAGCGTCGTCAACCAAGGGAGGGAGGACAAGCGGCGCGCCGCGGATCAGAGGTTCGGGCCGCCGCCGCCCACGGACCAGCATGCTCCTAATCAGACCGTCCTGGCCGCACCCTGCCTTTGGAATGACTGCAACTCGATCCCCAACTTGCAGGACCTGGTCAACCTCCAGAACCAGATGGGGGTGGCGGGCGCGGCGATGGGTGGTGGCGGGATGTTTGGAGGACAGTACCAAGGCGGCAACATGCCCAACGGTGACGGCCGCGGTCAGGCTGCCCCCGACCTGGTGGTCATGGGCGGTATGGGTCTCGAGGAGATGAAATCCTTCGCCATGATGCAGCACCTCTTGACCGAGCACCTGGGCCAGAGCGTAGGCGGAGCCGGCGATCAAGACCCAAGGATGACGATGTCGATGATGGGGGGGAAGGGGAGGCCGGATCACAGCCACAACAGCAGGATGACGCAGCCGGCCAAGGACCAAGCCACCACGTCGATCGATCCAACCCCAATCCTGCCCAGACAGGGCGCGCGCGCCGTCGTCAAAGCAGGCCGAAGCTTGGCGTCGGATCGGA